TTTTTTTTTTTTTTTTTTTTTTACCTAGTCCCTGACTTAAATTGTGTTCAAATTAGTTTTAAAGTTCTGTTTGATATTGGCTGGTTCAAAAATTGCAGGGAAAAGTAATTTTCTGCACATCATCTGTGTTTCCATCCGCCTTTCATGTGCTGCACAATGTGAAAATCCCAAGTCTTGGAGCACTGTTGGTCTGGTGTCCACAGAATACCTGTGTTTATATATGTATGAAGAAGAATAATGGATTTGCAAAGCATCTAGTTCTGATACACTTTCTACTTTGCATATCAGGAGAATACAGAAATCTAAGGGTGCCAGCGGATGTTAAATCTTACATGAATCTGAGTGGAAGACCTGTTTGAAAAGTCACTCAACTAAATGGTATCATTGCTTCTATTGGGATGGTCTTCCTTTCCTGTCACCCTAATGAAGCTATAAGCATCTTTATTTTTCCCACTTGTAAGAACGACTTCCTATGTTAGTGAAGAGCAGAGTGTTCAAGCTACTGAGATTTTTATTGGGGCTTCTAATTGGATCCTGGAAAATTGTGGTGAGGAGATTGGTCAGTTATTATGACCCTGGATAAAGAGAAATGCTTGCGTGCTCTTGGGGAAAGTTTGAGAGCTATTGGCTATGGCGATGTATATCACAGGTGGAGTGTTCAGCTTATAGAAGAGCTGTAGATCGTGGCTTCTGAGTAGGATGGGAGAACTTGATCGCATGACCTGATGCCTCAGTGGTGTAGTTAAAGAACATGGTATGACTTTGGGGGGGGAAGTTGCAGCCCCTGGGCTGCAGCAGGTGAGGTATAGAGGTAAGTGACACAACCTTTATACGTAAAAGCATACGCTGCTCCCTAATTGCCTCTTCAAAAAATGATACTTGTTAAGAAGAGACACATTAATGACAAAATCTGTCATCAACTTTTGGCTGAGGACTGTGCTGATAAGTTCCTAGCAATCTCTGCTGCAGGAGTTTGGGAAGAAATTGCACTGTAGGAAATTTGTCAGCTGTGTGTCTCCTGAGACCAAGCGCTTCATCTTCCTTGTGCCTGGAGTAAATGTTCTTCTGTTCAAAGCTGGTGAGAGCTACAGGTGGTTGTTTGGAGTTGCTTGTGGGACCGCAGGGTAACGACAGCAGCTTTGTGCCTTCAGCTGTCCTGAGGAAGCAGGGCTTGGTTTTCAGGGATAACGTCAAGGTTTCTTCTGGAGTGGCTGGTGGTTTTGTTGTGCTTAGGGGGAGAAAAAAACCAGCCAAACAAAAAAAACCCAACAACATACCACCTTGTATTTATTTTCTTTCCAAAATCAGCTTATTTGCTAATAAAAATGTTCTGTGTTCTACCTTCAAGAGTTTTACAGCTATTTTCTCATTTTCCCGCATGGTGCTTGTGCTCCTCCTCGTGTCCCTGTGAGCAATCTCTTCTCAAACCCAGGGTCCATGAAGCTGAGCTGGACACGTGAGTTGCCCAAAGCTGCCCTGAGGAGCCCTGCTGTTGGACAGGACCCTGCTGTTGGACAGGACCCTGCTGTTGGAGACATGTAGGAGTCACAGGGGGCAACCTGGTTGCCCTGTGGCTAGCTGCCAGTGGCCTGATGCCGGTGAGGTCCGTGCCAGTAGAGGTGTGGAGCCTTGGAGATCAGCTCTGTGTCCCACAGCAAGTCCACCGACCCAAGGCCCAGACCAGAGCAGCGTACTCTGTTTGGGTGCCCTCAGAGATACCTGCCCATTGGCAGTACTGGGGAGTGCTCAGCCGGTCTACCGTGAATCCATCGGTAAATCTGGGTTTGTCGAACGCCTTTTTAGCCCAGTCTCCTCCCCGTTCCCCAGCAGTGCCCTCGGTGCCGCCGCGGTTCCAGGCCGCGCTCTCCGGTGTCTCCGGGCAGGGGGCGCTGCCTGAGGCCCCGTCGCTATGGGAACGGGCGCGGGGCATGCTGGTCCGAACGGGGACGCACCCCCAAAGGGAGGTCCGGTCCTGGCCAATGAGCGCTCGGGGGGGCGGTGCCCCTGACCAATGGATGGCGGTTGTGCGCAGGGGGCGGGGCTGGAGGCTCTGGGGAGCGGCAGCGCCCGCGCGGGTCGCTTGAAAGAACATGGCGGCGGAGAGGGTGGGGAGCGGCGTGCGGGTCCGCCCGGTGCCGGTGTAGCGGTGTGTGCGGAGCGGTGAAGCTCCCCCTGGTGCGTGAGGGGAGTTTCGTGAAGAGAGCGGAGCCTCATGAGGCGGTAGCGCGGCTCCCGAGAGGGGCCGGGCGCGGTGCGTGTCCCGGCGGCCGCCTCTGCCTTTCCCGCATCCCTGGGGAGAGGCCTTGAGGCTTTCGCCGAACCGGAGCGGGGCTGGGAGGCGGCGGGGTTTGAGGCCACTCCGTGGGTGCCCGTGTCGCTCCGGGAGCTCCGTGTGAGCAGGCTCTGCCGGCGCCGAGCCCAGGCCGTGCCTATGTCTCTGGCCCCACCGGCCAAGCGCTGCCCGGCCCCGGGACCAGGCTGTGAACGGCGGTACCTGGGTGAGCACCGGGCAGAGTGGCTGCTCCCCTAACCTCGAATTCTCCTCTTTATTACAGGTCGTACGGGTGATCAGACAGCTGTGATATAGGATACAGATGCAGCAGGAGTGTGCCATTTGGTCTCTGGAGGAACGCAACGCTGAGCATGACGTTGCAGCTCATATAAGGAGTATAATCGTTCATAATGTGTTCCTCCTGAATGCTAGATGAACTTCAAAAATCAAGCAAAAATGTTGGTGAGTAGTTCTAGAGAGGAAAGTTCTGTGGGTACTGTGTAATCCAGTCAGACTTTATCTGCAGACTGGTGTCTTTATGTTCCTTTCTACATCCCTTATATGCACTTCTCTGGTTCTTCCCCTACTCTTTCACAATTTTTTGTGAAATTTTTTGTCTATTTAAGTCCTTTGCTCTCCAAAGAAAGTACTTGGAATGCTAATTCTGAGTTCCTAGTCTCTTCTGCAGCAATGTGACAGGAAATATAATCCTACCTGGCAGTGTACTGAGGGAAGGAATTTTGTGACTCACCAGACCTGTCATTTTTTTCCTCATTGGCCTGGGTTCTGTTACTGTTCTCCTCAAGGGTGCTTAGAGCCACGGACTGTTTCTCAAACTCTCATCTCGTTACTCAGTTGTGTGCTAATGGCACGAAGCCTGGTGCCTTCAGTCTTCCTATGGCAGGAGACCTTGGCCTTCACAGGCAATGAGGGATTTTGCTAGCAAGGGGGGGGTTGTTATTGTAGTTAAGGGAAAAAATTGGGGGAAGGGGAAACAAACAAAAAAGAGAGACTTCTGTGTATTTATTTTCTTTCCACAGCCAGCTGCTTTGCTAATAAAAATTTTGTATTCTGCCTTTAAAAGTTTTATGGCTATGTATTTTTTTTCCTTAGTGTTGCTTGTGCTATTCATTTCCCTGTGAATGTGGATTTGTTAGAAAGTTTCTTTTCTCAAATCCAAAATATCTAAACATTGTGGGTAACCATCCTTATAATTTGGCCGTTAATTCTGATAATAATAGACCTAAATAGGGAACAAAGGGGAGTTAAAATAAAGCCTTTTAGGAAGCTTTGCCTAAAATATTATTTATTAGCTCTGCCCTTTTGCTTTCCACCACTACTTTTCTATTAAGAAGCCCGGGAACTGCTCTTCTAGTGAACTCAAAGCCTGAACCAATGGCACAGGGGTCAGCAGATGCCCTCGAGATCTCCGAGTGTTATTTTAAGGGTTAATTAAAATGCCTTTAGAATATCTGTTGCCTTGTGTTTGGGTTTTTTTTTTTTTTTTTCCCGTTTTCTAATGCGTTGAAGGAAAAGTTTAAAAGAATCGCGTTCTTTCTGGCCGCTTTGTGCCGGCGGGGCCGGTCCCGCAGCCCGGTGCGGGTCTTGCTGCCGGGGGGGGGGGCGGTGCGGGTGGCCCCGGGCTCCCCGGGGACTACATCTCCCGGCGGTCTGCGCGGCGGGCGGGGACTACGGCTCCCGTGGTGCCCCGGGCCCGGCTCCATCCGGGTCCCGGCCACTGCTGTCGGCGACTCGTCGCCATTACGGGGCAGCGGCGGCCGAGCCGGGGCCGGGGCGGCGCCGAGGAGCCGGTGGGTGCCTGGGTGGCGCCGACCACTCGGGCGGCAGGCAGCGCCGGGCCCCGCGGGGCTCCCTCAGCAGCTCCCTCCCTCCTCGCCCGGAGCCCCGCAGGCCCGGCCCGGCCTCTCGCGGCCCTCCCCCGGTTCGAGCGGAGCAGCGAGAAGATGTCGCCATGAAGGAGGCCGAGTCCGCGCTGCGCCGCCCCCGCCGGTCGCCCCCGCGGGCCATGAGCCTGGGCCCCCGCCGGCTCCGCCAGCGCCCGTCCTGCCCCCCCGCCCAGGGCCGCCCCTCACCCGCCGGGGCGCCCGTTGATGCTGCAGAGCCCGCCCGGCCCGACCCCCGCCTCAGCCTCCGCCATGGACAAGAGCAGCCCCTGCGGCTCCGGTGCGCCCGGCTCCTCGGCCGGCGGCAAAGGGCAGCAGCCGCGGTCCGCCTCGGCCGGGCCCGCCGCGGGGGAGTCTAAGCCCAAAGGCGGTAAGAGCGGGGCTGGGGGAGAGTTCTAGCCGCAGACCGGGAGTTCTGGGGGGTTTCAGGCCGGTAGCGGCGGCCCCTCGGCGGGCTCTGGGTGGGAGGGAGGAGCGGGGTAATCGCGGGGCCGGGGTCGCGGTGAAGCTGACCCGCTCCTGGTCGGGCTGTTTGTCTCTGGGCCGGGTTTAATGGGCTTGGTTTCAGGTCACGGCTTGTTTTTGCTTTCTTTTTCCTTCCTCTTCCGGCTCTGTTGCCTGTTGGACGAGCTGTGGGTCCTGCTCCTTCCTGCCTTTAAGGATTAACGCGGTATCTCTGTTAGCGTTGGAATAATCAGATTGAGAGCTAAAGCTTTGGGCTTATAGTAAGAATATATGTTTGCCCAGGGCCTATTAAGAGAACCATTAACTTTATTCTGTACTAGAGTGCACTTTTACGTCTTGCCTAAGGAGGTCTGGTATCGATAGACAGTGTTCCCCTTACCGGCTGTGTTCCAGTAACCTGCTTTGGAGCAGCTCAGAGTTTGTTAAGTGTTGTTTGCCCATCTGGTGTTTAAACCCAAGCCTTACAGCTGTGATTGCAAACAGCCAGTTTTGCTGACATAGTGCTTCATGAGGAGCCATTATGGTTCCTGTCATCTGTCTTTTCAAGGTAAGACCTGAGCCGCCTCCGGTTCTCTAAAGCTGTTCAGGAGCAGAGTGTTCCTGGCAACCTTGCATATTTTTTCTTTTCTACAACCTAGAAATGGGGCAGTAGTGATTGAAGTTAGTGTTTTTAGTCCCAGAAGTATGTATGCGAGTGTCAACAGGTTGCTGCAACAGCACCGCTGAACTAATTTCCTTCCTTCTCAGTGGTTTGTTTCAACTCTATTACTTCATGTCTCTGAACTCCATTACTTCAGGTCTCTGAAGGCAGCAGTGTATTCCGAGGGGTTAACAAAATGAGTTTCTGGGAGGTGTTGACTCCTCCTTGGACCTTCTAAACACACTGGGATCCTGGGTAACCAAGTATTACCTGCTCTTCGCCTTTTTTAACTGATCTTTCCCCAGGACAGACTGACGTGGGAGTTGGCTCACCCACAGCTCCCCAGGTTGTGGTGTAACCGTGCAATTCTAGTTAAGTTTTAACTTCGCATTCAAACACATGCAAAGTCTTTTTAGGAAGAACTTTTTATGCAGTCATTTCTGGAAGAGCTCCTAACTGTTTTGCAAAGGTTTTTTTTTGCATCAGCAATAGGATTGGATGCGAGAGTCTTATTATCCCTGGCTACTGTTGTTATTTTTCAGTCACTTATTTCATTTTTTCCCCTGTAATGAACAGACCAATGGAAGCAGAGGGTTTTGCCTGTTGGATATGCAACAACAGTTTTAGAACCAGATCTTTGGGTTTTGATGGAGTAACAAAGCATAGAAACTCCTCTGCATGTGTTGCAAGAGGCGGTGTGAAAGGGCAGCAGACAAGAGGTTTTCCTGTCGAGGAGAACCGGTTTCTGTCCCACCAAGAGGTACCTCAGCCCTACAGCTTCTTCTTGTAGTGTGGTGTGTTGCTGTAGGGAGGATTGTTTACAGAATATAAGCATCTTTCAGTAAAGATTTAAGGTGGCCTGTCCTGTCCCATGGCTGGTATGCCTTTAAGTAGAAGAAGCAGTATCTGGAGTGAAGGAGGAAATAAAATGCCTGTCATTCCAGCACGAAATAAAAGTGTTAAGTAATTTTTGTGGAATGCCACTTTTTATAGTCTTGAAACAATGTTATGGTAGCAGAGGAGCAGTGAGGGGAGAAATCCTGATGTACCATACTCTTCTACTCCAATACAATAGACTAACTTTTAATTAAAAACAAACCCAACTTTTTTTAAGACCTCTTTTTCAATAAAAGAGAAGAAAATTTTGTCTTGACATAATTCCGCTTTGAAGATGCTTGTTTCTTAACTCCAGTGGAGGGCAAAGGGACATGGAATGTGTTGCTTCATCAAAGAGGCCTGGCAAAATTAGAGTTTCTTTTAGTAGAAGCAGATATATATATTTGGAATATCTTAACTGGAGGGTACTGAAAACTAAAATGAGAAGATTCCGTTTGCCAGATAATGGCAAACAACCACAGGACGAGCACACAGGACACAGCTCTGTTAGATCGTGGCTGTGTTTTGGCAGCAGTTGCACACAAGACACTGGCATGTCACCATATGGGATTTTTTTTTTTTTTCTTGATTTCTTTATCATTCTGCAGGTAGCTGATGTGGTCCACCTGATTTCTCTCCAGTTTTAGGAAAGGTATAAGAGGTCTTCTGAAAACCTTGTGTCTCCTTTGAAAAGGAAGGTATTCTTGATGGACCACAGATTCTCCCCCAAACGCTGCGTAAGTGCCTTTTGCACTGATGGTTGCTGGATTTGAGTCTAGTCAAGCTCTTGCCATTTAGATGCTTTTTGGAGTTACCTTCTGTGATCAAGTCCAGCTGAAGAAATGAAGAACTGGAAGTTCACGAAACCTTGCAGTAGCTTCTTCCGTTTCTCTTACAGCACAGCTTGAAATGGGCTAAATAGGATACTGTAAGCTCTTGTGGAAGTTGGATTCCAACTATCTTTCAAACTTGGCCTTAAAAACTAAATTAAACTTCAGATTTTCCAACAGAAAAATTTCTTTGGGTTAGATTAGCGCACCAACAGGAGTCACGTCCCGTTAGGTGGAATATAGTAGTGGAGGGGAAGTAGGCTTGTTGGGTTTCTCTGCAGTCCTCGAGGCCTGATGGACAACATCAGTTCTTACAAACTGGGCGTTATTATGGTGTGAGCTTAGCTGGGGTGTGTGACTGCTCCGTCACCTCTTGCTCACTGGAATGTTTGTCGGAGCAGCAGCAATAGCTTCAGTGTGTTTTTGTGAAGTCACCCTGGGGCTTAGTGTGATCCACCACCCAAGCCCCTTATGCAACACGGTTGGCTTCAGCACGGCTCCACTGAAAAGAAGTGGCAAACAAAGATGGAAGGAAACCACAGTCCTCACCCCAGCAGCAAACTGCTGCAGCTCCAGGACCGAAGCGGTCACCTAGAGCTGTTTTTAGTCCTGTGAGCTTGATCTCCTCTCTCTGGGTCTTTGGAGGTAGAGGTCCTCTAAAGGAACGTGGCATCCAGCAGGAGAAAGCACAGATGTCAGGGCTTGCTTCAGAAGGCAGAAGCAGCTTTGTTGCTAGTTTTATAAAATTATATAGACAATATTTTTTTTATAAGTCTGTGTTCTCTTGGAGTGTGAATGGGTAGATCATAGGTTAGATCTTGTGCGACCGGCAAAAGGACCAGCTGAGGAGCTGAGTGAAGAGTAAGCACCTCACCAGTGCTGTTGCTCATTCCTAATTTGCCAAAGAAATAAAAAAGCGATCTAAACCTTTATTACTTCAAACTGGGATCTAACAAGAGAGGATGGCAGTGAGAATCTTCCACTTTTCTCCATGCGTGAGTGCAGATATCGCTGTCCTGCCCCGCTCCTCTGGGAATGCAAGAAGGGATGATGCAAAGCAGAGAGCAGCCTGACACTGGCATGCTGGAAAGGTTGGAAGGAACGGCACTGCTTACATTCAGGGTGGGGGAAAAAGTGTTCCAGTTTACAAATGTATACTCCAAACTCTTGATTGTCTGTTGACTGATTTAATGTCTACTCTGATGGACCAGAATCCTTATGTGGGTAATTCTCGCAATCAATAACATCAGGTTTGAAGCCTTTTTAGAATGTCATGTAAGGCCCTTCCTAAAAAAGGCGCAGGCAGAGAGGACATTCCTATAGAATGTGAGAGTCATTATAGTGACTCCCAAAAGCTCTTGAGTTGGTCTGAAAGGACTTGTAGCATGACAGGAATGTGTATAAACCAGCTGACTGACAAATTTGGTGGTGACTAACTTGATTGAAACTCTGAAGTGGTAGGAAATTCTTCTGTCATCCGCAGGTACAGGCTGTTCCTGGGCCTTGTAAAGACCCGCTTTAGGCTGAACTTTTCTTCTTGAGTTGTTTCTTTTCCCTCAGTTGGTGATTGCAGAGAAACTGCAAAGTTGCTGTAGATACAACAGGCATGTGTCCCTCTAGTCACTGAAATTGCAGATTTAAGAGGGTGATTGAGCTCTAAACTGACAGGCTCTCCTCCTGAATAACTGAAATGGTAGTCCAAACCTCTTCAAAATGACATAATTTTTTACCAGAGACTCAGTGGTGTTGATTTCAGCCTCTTTCCTCCAAACACTCTCAAAAAAGGTCTATCTAAATAATCATTAGGCCAGACCTGGTCACACCCTAGGTACTTGGCAGCTTCTGATGTGTTTTTTTTCCTGATAACGCTCAACCCATGTCTTTAGCCTGACGAGCTTTACAGCCCTGTGAGCTGTGCAGGCGTGTGTCTGAGTTATACGTCTGTGGTTCCGACAGACTTGGTTCAGTTCTGCATTTAAGGGATCAGCCTTTTGAATAGCAGAGTAAACAACCGGTTCTGGCGAAGAAGTTTGTCTGCAAAATGTCTCTGTCGCATCATGTGGAAGTAATGATGGTGCCTTTTTACTTCTCTACTGTAGTTGTGGGGAAAGACTCAAGTCTGCTGGTGCAAGAAACAGCAGATCACCACAAAGCCCAGTCAAGCCACTTTTATTACTTAAGAGTAAGTCAGATCCTCATTAATGTGCGATAACAGACTTCCCAGTCCACTGCCCCTCTCTTTTGGGGGGTGCAGGTGGCAGAGAAAACTAAAAATAACAGAAAAGTGAGACTTGGTGAGAGTGATTTAATTCCAGCTGTTTTAAATGCTCGGGCAGATTGGAATCGGAGCTGGGGAAGGGGAAAACAAAAGGCACAGGTAATGAAAACTGCCTGTATAAGTAACGCGATCCTGAATCACACACCTCTCTTTTGGGGGGTGCAGGTGGCAGAGAAAACTAAAAATAACAGAAAAGTGAGACTTGGTGAGAGTGATTTAATTCCAGCTGTTTTAAATGCTCGGGCAGATTGGAATCGGAGCTGGGGAAGGGGAAAACAAAAGGCACAGGTAATGAAAACTGCCTGTATAAGTAACGCGATCCTGAATCACAGTAAAATTTACATTAAGGGGTGGGGAAGACTACGAAGTGTGAAAAGGCAAACTAGTAGGCTTTTATAAACTGGATCTAGATATTGCATGAGGCGTTACTGTTTGCATAACACTTAGCGAGTATCCAGAGTGACTCTGGGGCTGGCTGGTGTGGAATGACTTCTGGCTGGGACTGTGGAGTTCTGCTTCCAAGCTTATCAACATCCTTCTTCTACAAATAAAATTCAGGGCAGTTGGTGGAAGAGCTGGGTTCGGTGACAGGTTTGTTGTGTCCTTGGGGCAACTCTAGTCTTGTGTTAAGACTATTAGACATACCTTCATAGTATGAATTTTCTGTTCTAGCAGTCATAACGAAGCAGCTGGTTAGACCCAGGAAACCCCTTTCAGGACTGATTTTTCTGCTCTTGTGAGGTTTATTTCTGCGGTATTTTGCTTTGTGCTTCACCACTGTGCCATGTGTTAAGGTCAGTGGTGCGCGCAGCGTGCTTTTGGGCAAACAGGTCTCATTGCAGAGGCTGGTGGACTTAGTACTTAGATATTAGGTACTTGTCCTGCGAGGCCAAAGCATTGGTTTCGTGCTTCAAGATCGATTAGTATTTGTTGGCCTTGTGAAAGAAAAGGGTATTTTTAAAACAGTATTAGATCTGTTTGGGTCTTTTAAGTGTAGTGGGCAGAACGGAGCGAAGACAAGGAATGGGGTCTGGCAAAGTGGGAGACTTCAAGACAAATGCAGGCAGCAGCGTATTTATATAAGGGAGCGACATGAGAAATTGTGTGCTTTCAGAAAATTGAATGAAAAAATGAAATAATTGTTGTCATTTTTGTAATGGGGCATGAAGATGTGGTTGTGTTTATCATTAATGTACCAGGCAACATGCTAACGTCTGGTGATGGCAATTCCAAATCTGGATGAAGAAAATTCAATCATTCTAATAAAAGATAAAGCCCAGCAAATGCATCCTTTTATGCTCTTTGACCAGTTCTTTGGGCAGTGGTAGGAATGAAGTGATTTTGGTTGCTGGGGGAAGTTTGGTGTCCCAATAAGCACTAGGCTTTTAACCAGGGCCCAAGGCAACGGCCGAGGTGGACACCTCTGGCTGAGGAGCAGTACATGTGGGCAACTCTGAGGCTGCTGATCTGATTCTTGTTTCTTTTTTTTTCTTCTTTTCTTTCAGATGGAAAGAATGCGAGTGGATCCAAACAGCGTTATAATCGTAAAAGAGAAACTTCATATTCAAAAAATGAGAACTTTTCCAGTCAGTCCCGTCGCTCCAATTCACAGAAAAGCAAAGCTTTTAACAAGATGCCCCCTCAAAGGGGAGGTAGCGGCGGAAGTGGCAAACTTTTTAGCTCTAGTAATGGTGGAAGACGAGATGAGGTGAGAATTGTAATGCCGTGCCTCCAAGGCCTTCTTTCTTGGGACGAGAGGATCGCTCTGACCTGCCTAGATAGGTCTTCTGTGTTCAGCTCCTGGGCTGGGAAGGGAAAGAGCGATAAGAGGTGCTAACATCGTTGAGATGCCAGAGTGAGTGTGAGCCGAACAACTTGGCAACAACAGAAGAGGAGTGCTCTCTGCTCTGAGAGACTTGCAATAAAAAATGCCATCTGAGGAATGGGTACCTAGACAGGCTGTGTACATACCTCATGAAACAGAGGTCTTTCATGAAAATATCTAGTGATAACGATTTCTAGCTTTTAAGCCTGAGGTGATTGTGTCTGACCACTTCAGTGTACAAATTTGCATGTTCTGGTGGTATTGGGAAATTAATCATATTAGCCTTGGTCACATCAAGATGGAGTAAAGCCAGACCGAGGCTTTTATGCTGACGTGGGTCTAAACACATGTAGACTGTTCATGGGTTTTCATTTGTGCTCTGATTTTTCAGTTTTAGTGGATGAGCAACACTGCTCGCTTAAGTTGCTGACTGTGAAAACTCCTCTGCTCTCTGTTGAATTCTCACTTTATGAAAACTAACCAAAATGAGTACAACCTGTGCAAGTGGTAATCAGACTTGTATTACTTTCCATCTAAAATAATATTGTCAGGATTTGAACAACTCTCTTCTGTTATTAACCTGGACTACTAGGTTTTGCCAGCTTTTACTTGTTCCTTGTGTCGGTTGTCTTTATGCTCCTCTCCTTTTGAACAGTGTGGGGTAAGACCACTCAGTTCCAACTTTCGGGTTCTCATGCGCTTTTAACGCTGCACTACTTGATTTGCAGAACTGGAATGGGCGAAGGTGAGTGAGTGGATGCTGCGTGTTCTGTCTGTACTCACTGATGGGGCCGGGGTATCAACTTGTACTGATGCTTTTTCAGTAAATTCGAGCAAGTTCTAACCAATGCCGTTGTCTCTTAGGTAGCAGAGGCTCAGCGGGCAGAGTTCAGCCCTGCCCAGTTCTCTGGTCCCAAGAAGATTAATCTGAACCACTTACTGAACTTCACTTTTGAACCCCGTGGCCAAGCAGGCCATTTTGATGGGAATGGACATGGCAACTGGGGGAAAAGGAACAAGTGGGGACATAAACCTTTCAACAAGGAGCTCTTCCTACAGGCCAAGTGAGTGGAAGACTGGCAGGGCTCTTCTGCAGAGCTATAAAGGATGGCCAGCCAGGGTTGACTACTTGTATTGCCTTTTCCAGGGTGAAGTTACCTCTCCATAGTGTTTTTAGTGGTAAAGACTACACTTGAAGAGATAAAAGTGTATCGAGTTGTCGTCTTTACCTATATGAGACCATCTTTACCTATGTGAGTCCGTCAGTGGTAAAGACTACACTTGAAGAGATAAAAGTGTATCAAGTTGTCATCTTTACCTATATACAAGAGATCTGATGGACTGAGTCCTTTAGATACAAACCAACTAGTCCTCTGCTGTAATTTTCTAGCATTGCTTGTGGAACATGACAATCCATTAGGAAGCCCTGTGTGGTTGCCTTATGGGAGACGGTTTTTTTTTCCAAAAAAATAGTATATTGAGATGGTAGGGGTAGCAGTTGCTGGATAAAAGCTAATCTGAATTAATAAGTCTCAGAAGCAATTACTCATATGGGTCTTAGTTCCTAAACAGCTGGTTATTTCACAGGCCCTGAGGTATGTAGTATGACCCAAATGATGATCAGTATAGTAATCCAGCAGCAGAATTACTTTTGACTGGAAATAATGGTCACTTTCACTGGAATTTGAAGTGTGTTCAGGACTTCCTGTGTCCGATCACGTTAAAGATAACAAAACCTATTTTCAGCATCGATGCTTCTGACTTTTCCCTATTGTTTTGTGGCTCATTGTAGGGAAGTCTATTTGCAGGAACCCCAGTAGTTCTAGTTTTTGTGAGCATATTTTTTTCACTTGTGGATTCCCTGTTTTTTAATAGACCCCTGATGGAGCTGGCTGTTCCTTACATGTTTCTGGAAACCCCTCTGCCTGGCTCATTCTGTGCTTAGTGTGTGATGTTGTGTTTAACTGAAATTACACACACCTGTATTCTGGAAATCTGGTTGTGAATTGAATGAACTCTTTTGGGGTTTGTTGGTAGAAGTTACTGACTGCGTTCAGCAGTTTTCTGCTGGACAAAGAAGAAGCTCAGAGAATCCTGTAGGATAGTTCTCAAAGAATTTTTAGAAACAACTGAGTGGATCATCTGTTTCTTTGCCTTTCCCCAGCTGCCAGTTTGTTGTCTCTGAAGAACAGGACTACACAGTCCACTTTGCTGATCCAGATACCTTGGTCAACTGGGACTTTGTGGAGCAAGTGGTCAGTTTTGATGGGCTAGATTTTTTTTTTCCTTCATCTTAAGAAGCTCAACCTGTCTTTAACTGCCTCTTTATCTCTGTGATGTTACGTAAAACTCAGCTGTTTTTGAGTTGAGGCCTCTTCTGTCACTCCCACAATACCGGGAAAGATCTGTCATGGAATATATTATGAAATACTTTCATGACAGGAAAAGAGAAGTGCTAAAATCTATTAGGAAAATTAGCAGCTTCTTCTTGCTTTCGCAGATGGGAGCTCATCAAAAATAGTATCTGACATTCTGTAGACAGAGTCCTTGTGATTGAGATATTAACAGAAAACTTGGGCACGAGTCCATGGAAGAGGACTAGAGTGTAGAATTATTCTGTGCAGAGGTGGCCCATCTTGCCTAGCAACAACATGGAAAATCTCATGAGAATTGTGGTCAGAACTTCGGGTTGCCTCAAGTAGAAACTTATTATCTGCCAAGACTAGTCTTGGTGTGTGGTGCAGCTGGAGAGGAGGTAGGCTTACTGTTAGCCAATCTACAAGAGAGCTGAGAAATCTAGGTGCTTGCACGACAGTTATGTCTCTGCAACATACAGATGCTAATACAGTGTCTGACTAAACTAGTATGCTCATGGAAATAGGTAAGTTCAGTCTCGCAGTTAAACAGGGCTGCACAAGTCTGCTTGTGTAAGTGAGGTGACAGCTTGTTTGCTGCCTTCTCAGCGTCTGAATTTGGATGATGAAGATGCTGCTGACTCTTGCAGATGACGAATACGTGAGAGAAAACATGAGAAGAGTGACTTTTTTAATGTCGTTAGAGTAGAAATACCAGATGGGCGTGCATTCTGAAGGTGTTACTTAGTTTGCAGTGCACTTAATTTATTGATAAATAAGCAGAGCCTAAAGAGCTGGAAGATTAATATGTTAGAGTAGATCTTAGAGGTGGCTTATTCTGTAGCACAGGAACTGATTTCCAAGTCTAAAACTTGTACTGTTCTTCTCATGTGCCATTTCAGCGAATTTGTAGCCATGAAGTGCCCTCTTGCCCAATATGTCTCTACCCACCAACCGCAGCAAAGATCACCCGCTGTGGGCATATCTTTTGTTGGGCATGTATCCTTCACTATCTCTCCTTGAGTGAAAAGACCTGGAGTAAATGTCCTATTTGTTATGGCTCTGTTCACAAGAAGGATCTCAAGAGGTGAGACGATACTTATTAAATGATGTATCTTTTTGAATTGTTATTATTAACCCTACTAACCGCGGCCTTACATTGCAGTGTTGTTGCTATGGAAACACGTCAATATGCAATTGGCGATACCATTACCATGCAACTCATGAGAAGAGAGAAGGGTGTTCTGATAGCACTGCCCAAATCTCAGTGGATGAACGTGGTGCAGCCTGTTTACGTCAGAGGTGAGTGTGCCTGAGTACTGGTGGTTGGCATCCTGCTTCTAACTGGGACTGGGACTTGTGTAGAGAGGATTTACCATGGCAATGCCATGCTGTCACCTTAAAATAGACCAAACTACGAAATGTGGGTTAGCAGCTGAAAACCTTCATGACCACATATTATTAATAAGCTTTCTACCCACGCTTTGTTTTTTATAAGGCTTTAACTTGTGTGTTGTCTCCCTTCAAACTGCTGCACTGCAGCTCCTGCCTTCTAAGTCATTGGTGTTAGTTTGGTGTGAGTTTTGTATCGTAGAGTCATTGGTGTGACTCTTGCTGCTTTTGTTGGCTCTTTAGTGTCCTTAACTTTTTTCTCTCCTGGCTCCTTACACAGCCTAGCAAAAATAACTGTCTCTGTCTAAACTATTTCAAGGATGTAATCTTCAACAAGGTTTTCATCATCGTCATTTATCAACTAAAATCTGAGAATGATGCAGGAAAAAATCAAAATTATTGCAAACCTTTTCCAAACATCTGTTGCATGACTTCTTCAGTTTTCTTCAGTCAAGTAATGTGACTAACACATCGTCATCTTATCTGTTGGTATCACAAAACTTTTGTGACTAAAGAAGTAATTTTACTTCACATTGCTGTTCTGTGGGCTGTCTTGGCTCACTTCGTTTTGCAGTCACATTTGTGAAAGGCTACGTGCATTTAAGCTCTGTAAAAAGTCAAGTCTCCTAACGCATGAGAGGGGTATCCAGCAGGCAGGGTTTGCGCTTATACGTTCCTCACTACTTGAAAGTGAAGGGCTTTAAATCCTTTCATAAAAGAAACAAAAGAACAAGTACAGGATTTGAGATCATTCTAAACCCAGGAAGTTCAGCATTAACTTGGTGTTCTGTAGACCAGGTTGGACCCTTTGGGGAGCAGTGAGTATAGGGGCTGTACTGGTAGGTGATGCTATGGTTGCTGTAAGCTCTAGAGTTAAGATAAGCTCTCCAGTAACAAAGACGACTACCTTTTGCTAAACTTGCAATTCTGTAGTTTACTATTTATGCTGTGCTTCTTGTAAAAAAACTCATAGTAATGTTTTGTATGGAGTTTGAATGTTTACAGGTTTATGAACTAGTTTGAGCCAAAACAGAGGTCACTTTTGGAGAACTTTCCAGTTGCAGTATTTTTGAGTACATAGAGAAGAGGAAGAAACTGCAGACTGCATTGTTTCAGGCAGTTTTGACCATCCAAGGCTTCTCGAAGATAGTGGTTCCACAGCATAGAAGTTTATACTTGATTTTTTTTTTTTTTTTTTCAGAGATCTGATGGACTGAGTCCTTTAGATACAAACCAACTAGTCCTCTGCTGTAATTTTCTAGCATTGCTTGTGGAACATGACAATCCATTAGGAAGCCCTGTGTGGTTGCCTTATGGGAGACGGTTTTTTTTTCCAAAAAAATAGTATATTGAGATGGTAGGGGTAGCAGTTGCTGGATAAAAGCTAATCTGAATTAATAAGTCTCAGAAGCAATTACTCATATGGGTCTTAGTTCCTAAACAGCTGGTTATTTCACAGGCCCTGAGGTATGTAGTATGACCCAAATGATGATCAGTATAGTAATCCAGCAGCAGAATTACTTTTGACTGGAAATAATGGTCACTTTCACTGGAATTTGAAGTGTGTTCAGGACTTCCTGTGTCTGATCACGTTAAAGATAACAAAACCTATTTTCAGCATCGATGCTTCTGACTTTTCCCTATTGTTTTGTGGCTCATTGTAGGGAAGTCTATTTGCAGGAACCCCAGTAGTTCTAGTTTTTGTGAGCATATTTTTTTCACTTGTGGATTCCCTGTTTTTTAATAGACCCCTGATGGAGCTGGCTGTTCCTTACATGTTTCTGGAAACCCCTCTGCCTGGCTCATTCTGTGCTTAGTGTGTGATGTTGTGTTTAACTGAAATTACACACACCTGTATTCTGGAAATCTGGTTGTGAATTGAATGAACTCTTTTGGGGTTTGTTGGTAGAAGTTACTGACTGCGTTCAGCAGTTTTCTGCTGGACAAAGAAGAAGCTCAGAGAATCCTGTAGGATAGTTCTCAAAGAATTTTTAGAAACAACTGAGTGGATCATCTGTTTCTTTGCCTTTCCCCAGCTGCCAGTTTGTTGTCTCTGAAGAACAGGACTACACAGTCCACTTTGCTGATCCAGATACCTTGGTCAACTGGGACTTTGTGGAGCAAGTGGTCAGTTTTGATGGGCTAGATTTTTTTTTTCCTTCATCTTAAGAAGCTCAACCTGTCTTTAACTGCCTCTTTATCTCTGTGATGTTACGTAAAACTCAGCTGTTTTTGAGTTGAGGCCTCTTCTGTCACTCCCACAATACCGGGAAAGATCTGTCATGGAATATATTATGAAATACTTTCATGACAGGAAAAGAGAAGTGCTAAAATCTATTAGGAAAATTAGCAGCTTCTTCTTGCTTTCGCAGATGGGAGCTCATCAAAAATAGTATCTGACATTCTGTAGACAGAGTCCTTGTGATTGAGATATTAACAGAAAACTTGGGCACGAGTCCATGGAAGAGGACTAGAGTGTAGAATTATTCTGTGCAGAGGTGGCCCATCTTGCCTAGCAACAACATGGAAAATCTCATGAGAATTGTGGTCAGAACTTCGGGTTGCCTCAAGTAGAAACTTATTATCTGCCAAGACTAGTCTTGGTGTGTGGTGCAGCTGGAGAGGAGGTAGGCTTACTGTTAGCCAATCTACAAGAGAGCTGAGAAATCTAGGTGCTTGCACGACAGTTATGTCTCTGCAACATACAGATGCTAATACAGTGTCTGACTAAACTAGTATGCTCATGGAAATAGGTAAGTTCAGTCTCGCAGTTAAACAGGGCTGCACAAGTCTGCTTGTGTAAGTGAGGTGACAGCTTGTTTGCTGCCTTCTCAGCGTCTGAATTTGGATGATGAAGATGCTGCTGACTCTTGCAGATGACGAATACGTGAGAGAAAACATGAGAAGAGTGACTTTTTTAATGTCGTTAGAGTAGAAATACCAGATGGGCGTGCATTCTGAAGGTGTTACTTAGTTTGCAGTGCACTTAATTTATTGATAAATAAGCAGAGCCTAAAGAGCTGGAAGATTAATATGTTAGAGTAGATCTTAGAGGTGGCTTATTCTGTAGCACAGGAACTGATTTCCAAGTCTAAAACTTGTACTGTTCTTCTCATGTGCCATTTCAGCGAATTTGTAGCCATGAAGTGCCCTCTTGCCCAATATGTCTCTACCCACCAACCGCAGCAAAGATCACCCGCTGTGGGCATATCTTTTGTTGGGCATGTATCCTTCACTATCTCTCCTTGAGTGAAAAGACCTGGAGTAAATGTCCTATTTGTTATGGCTCTGTGCACAAGAAGGATCTCAAGAGGTGAGACGATATTTATTAAATGATGTATCTTTTTGAATTGTTATTATTAACCCTACTAACCGCCGCCTTACATTGCAGTGTCGTTGCTATGGAAACACGTCAATATGCAATTGGCGATACCATTACCATGCAACTCATGAGAAGAGAGAAGGGTGTTCTGATAGCACTGCCCAAATCTCAGTGGATGAACGTGGTGCAGCCTGTTTACGTCAGAGGTGAGTGTGCCTGAGTACTGGTGGTTGGCATCCTGCTTCTAACTGGGACTGGGACTTGTGTAGAGAGGATTTACCATGGCAATGCCATGCTGTCACCTTAAAATAGACCAAACTACGAAATGTGGGTTAGCAGCTGAAAACCTTCATGACCACATATTAATAATAAGCTTTCTACCCACGCTTTGTTTTTTATAAGGCTTTAACTTGTGTGTTGTCTCCCTTCAAACTGCTGCACTGCAGCTCCTGCCTTCTAAGTCATTGGTGTTAGTTTGGTGTGAGTTTTGTATCGTAGAGTCATTGGTGTGACTCTTGCTGCTTTTGTTGGCTCTTTAGTGTCCTTAACTTTTTTCTCTCCTGGCTCCTTACACAGCCTAGCAAAAATAACTGTCTCTGTCTAAACTATTTCAAGGATGTAATCTTCAACAAGGTTTTCATCATCGTCATTTATCAACTAAAATCTGAGAATGATGCAGGAAAAAATCAAAATTATTGCAAACCTTTTCCAAACATCTGTTGCATGACTTCTTCAGTTTTCTTCAGTCAAGTAATGTGACTAACACATCGTCATCTTATCTGTTGGTATCACAAAACTTTTGTGACTAAAGAAGTAATTTTACTTCACATTGCTGTTCTGTGGGCTGTCTTGGCTCACTTCGTTTTGCAGTCACATTTGTGAAAGGCTACGTGCATTTAAGCTCTGTAAAAAGTCAAGTCTCCTAACGCATGAGAGGGGTATCCAGCAGGCAGGGTTTGCGCTTATACGTTCCTCACTACTTGAAAGTGAAGGGCTTTAAATCCTTTCATAAAAGAAACAAAAGAACAAGTACAGGATTTGAGATCATTCTAAACCCAGGAAGTTCAGCATTAACTTGGTGTTCTGTAGACCAGGTTGGACCCTTTGGGGAGCAGTGAGTATAGGGGCTGTACTGGTAGGTGATGCTATGGTTGCTGTAAGCTCTAGAGTTAAGATAAGCTCTCCAGTAACAAAGACGACTACCTTTTGCTAAACTTGCAATTCTGTAGTTTACTATTTATGCTGTGCTTCTTGTAAAAAAACTCATAGTAATGTTTTGTATGGAGTTTGAATGTTTACAGGTTTATGAACTAGTTTGAGCCAAAACAGAGGTCACTTTTGGAGAACTTTCCAGTTGCAGTATTTTTGAGTACATAGAGAAGAGGAAGAAACTGCAGACTGCATTGTTTCAGGCAGTTTTGACCATCCAAGGCTTCTCGAAGATAGTGGTTCCACAGCATAGAAGTTTATTTTTTTTTTTTGATTTGTGGCAACTGAGTGTGAAGTGGTAGGTTGAAAGTGGCAGATAAACTGCTGTGTGGGGGAGATGCGTGTAGCAGAGCAGGCATGTGGCACCAACTTGTGTCATCAATGATATAAGGGTAATAAGTGCAGTCTGTATCAAATTCTTGCTAAGCATTGTCTGTCCTGGGGTGGATTAACTCACAAAATTGAGCAGTAGCAAAACTTCAGAAGAAACAGCGGTCCATCTCTGCATGTGGATATTAATGATTTGGTGCTTCTTCTGTTCAGATGACCAGCACAGTCAGTATTCAAAGCTGCTTCTGGCATCCAGGGAGCAGGTCTTGCAGCTGGTGATTCTGGAGGAGAAAGCAGCATTACTGAAACAGTATGAGGAAGAAAAACACACCCCAGAGGCTTGCTTTATTGAGGCGGCTATCCAGGAACTGAAGGTGAGAACCTCTGTGGAGTAACTTTATTTTTGAGAGTATGCTGAGCATCTGTGTTCTGCTGCATAAGTGGTCGTGTGTGATTATTCTGGTCTCTGTGATGTACATGCTAGCAGGGTTTGCTGCTAGAATAGCATTATAAATCTTGGAGGAGGCCTCTGGACCCCGGGTATCTGGAGTGATGTTGAAGATAACAGAACAGAATGCTTTTTCCTGAACGGTATTCTTTCCATAAATGTAAAGGAGTTCTGCTTTCAAAGGAAGGTGTGTTTCCCTTTTAGCTCCAGCAATTTTTGGGATAGTTTCTGTTGGGCAGATATGAGCAAAGCTGTAGAATATTCCTTTTCAGAGCATTTGGGTATCCTACAATGGGTGTGCTTTCTAGTAACAAGAAAGAGAGGACCTCTCTTCAAGGGTCACTCTTTGTCACAGATGAATTATAGATCTGTGAAGACCTGGAGTATAGGACAAGGCTAAAAATAACTATGGTGATAGACTCCTGGCTTAAATAGGAAATTGAAACTTGTTGTCTTTGAATGACCTGTAGGAGCGAGAAATGGCACTTTCTGCTGACCAGGATAAAAACAGTGGCATTGCTGGCATCACTGCAGGTGTGGAAGAATTGGTCCTAGAAAACTCAAAGGCTGTGGAGCCTGCAGTTTCCCAAGAGAAAAAGGTGAGTGACAACTCTGCTCTGGCAAATCTTGTTAATACTCTAATTCTGCCACTCTGCACTGCACTGTGTGGTGAAGTGGTGCCAAAGATTTGTGCAGAGATGATAATCTTTTGAAGGCAGTGATGTGGTACTAACTGTATGCTCTCTGCTGTGATAGTGTGGTGTGGAGTATCTCTCTGCATTTGATGAGGAGCTTGTGGAGCCTTGCTCCGATCTGGCAAGTTCCTTTTCACCTCCTGTGGAAGCAGAAGAGGTAGTGCTGGATGAAGAGGAGGTACCTGAGGTGGACACCGTAGGGGAACCTGATAAGAACACTACAGAAGAACCAAATCCAGCTGAAACAAGCTGCCAAGAATCTAAAGATACAATTAGCAGTGGACATCTTAGCAACTCTCCTTTTTACTATTTCTATCAAGGTCAGTGTAATGAAATCATGGAATCATGGGGGCAGAGATGCCAGCTTTGGGGTCCTCTTGAGGAAGATGTTTGTCAGTTCATTAGGTGCATCTAGCCCCTTGAGGAAGATGTTTGTCAGTTCATTAGGTGAAATGTGAAATGAAAGTCCCACAGAAATTCAGAAGGGAGCTTTAATTTTATTACTGGAGAATGTACTGGGGTGGGGAGAAGGGTATTTATTACTGGAGAATGTACTGGGGTGGGGAGGAGGGTATTGAAAATGAACAGGCAAAGAACAAGTGATGATATCTTATCTTATAGCGGAGGATGGACAGTGTATGTATCTCCACCCTGTGAACGTTCGATGTCTTGTTCGTGAATACGGCAGCTTGGAGAAGAGTCCAGAGAAGATAACTGCAGCTGTAGTGGAGATAACTGGCTACTCAATGACAGAGGTAGTTATTTTATCTTCTTATTAGCTAAGGCCATTGTTTAGCAGATTGATCATTGTAGCTGACAGATGAGACTTGTTTCTCTTCACTAAAAAGAAATAATAACTATGAATGGGTAGGCATGCTAATCTGTGAAGGGCATCTCTGTAAAGTGCAGTACCTTATGATTTGATAAGTAGACTGAAGTCTAGCTTTTTTCTAGAAGGTAGGAAATTCTAGGAGTAAGAGAATCAGTAAGTGACCTGGAGTAACCATCCAAATCTCATCATGACGTAGTTGGTGGAGATCTTGTTTCTGACCCAGGGCATCCTTCACGTGTTTGTATAGTTTATAAAGTGATTATTGTGTCACTGCTGCTGTTTTTTCCCATTTGATTTGATGAATGGTGGGTGTTCAAGCTCCATAAGCTATTCATCACTGTGGCAGCCTGTAGACCTTCTAGTGGTGATATATATATATATTTTTTTTTATCAGGATATAAGACAGCGTCATCGCTACCTTTGTCACTTGCCCCTCACCTGTGAGTTCAGCATTTGTGAACTGGCTCTGAAGCCACCCATCATCTCTAAGGAGACTTTAGAGTTGTTTTCAGGTTGGTGCTACCTTTCTTGTAGGATCTGTCGTGTGTCTGTGAGGGTGAAGGGGAAGTCAATCAGGATATAAGACAGCGTCATCGCTACCTTTGTCACTTGCCTCTCACCTGTGAGTTCAGCATTTGTGAACTGGCTCTGAAGCCACCCATCATCTCTAAGGAGACTTTAGAGTTGTTTTCAGGTTGGTGCTACCTTTCTTGTAAGATTTGTCATGTGTCTGTGAGGGTGAAGGGGAAGCCGTTCTTATCCCTTAATGGCAGAAAAAAAGAACATTCCTAGCAGCTTTACTCCTCTTGCGCCAACTGTCTGATAACTACTAGACAGAACAACCCCAGTTCACTGTTTTATAGACAACAGTTATACAAAAAATAAAAAAGCCCGACTGCTTGGAAGAGCATATGTTGTTTGTAAGCATATTTTGTTACTAATGTGTTATAACGGAATACGTTGTTCTCAAAGCTGGCGAAAACATTGCCAAAATATTGGTGTGGGTTTCTTGATATCCAATGCTGTGCGTTGCTCCTAGATGACCTTGAAAAGAGGAAACGTCTACGGCAGAAGAAAGCTCGTGATGAACGACGACGTGAACGCAGAATTGAGATAGAAGAAAACAAGAAACAGGGCAAATGTAAGTAGTGATTGAGCATAACTGGTGGATTTCAAGTCATCTTTAGTTGCTGAGCTGATTTTCTTGAGCTATAGGATGAACTCTAAGGCATTTAGTTTGTAGAGTGTATTTAGAACAAGATTACAAGGTATTAGAAACAATGTCTGTAGAGCAAAAAATATAAGCTGTTTTAGTCAGGATGTGAAATGGTGTTGTGTAATTCCTGCATACTTGCCCATTATGGGAGAGACAGAGGGCATTTGAGGGCACAGCTGTCTCCATGGTGTATATAGCTCTCAGGATTCTTGGTTTCTGTTTTTATAGTAATCATGATACAGAGTAAAAAGTGAAGAAGGGGAAAAAAATGCCTAGGAACTGCTTCTATCCAGCAGCAGGGCTTGTACTGGTCTCTAAAATAGAGGGTGGAAAGAAAATTGAGTTGGCACCTCCTAGACTCCTGAAACAACTTACATATTGACAGTCCTCCCCCACATTGTGTAGTGCTTTAATTTAAAACCTCTTTCTAGATCCAGAGGTCCATATTGCTTTAGAGAATCTGCAGCAGTTCCCTGCTTTTACCTCTTGCCCCGGAGAAACCAGCACTGATCATCAGAGCTTCTGTCTGTCTCCTCTTGGCAGAAGCCCTGTGTTTCAGACAGGTGAGCATCTGGAAAAACAAATCACATCTAGTTCTTGATCATTCTTTTGGGATCTACCACTCAGGTCGTCATCATGCTAAACTTCCTTAATACTGGTCAAATACTGCATCTTCCCAATATTGCCTTTGAGATGACACTCTAAAGGCTGACACAGCTAAGAAACATTCTGGTCCTTTGTCTGCTTTACTACCTCTACTTCAGTGACAATATGAGATCTGCTCTGTAATTGCCCCAACTTTTAAATCTTTGCTGAGGCAGAAGAAAAAAAGGACAAAAAATCCCCAAAAGGGGAAGAAAAGCATATGCCAGAAAAACACTACTGGCATTCTTTTCTTCCTACCCTCTCTGTCTTCCCCACCACATTCTACTAAAATCAAATGTAGTTGATGAGCACTCAGTTAAGTTGTTGTCCAGTGATTGTTTACCAAATGTTTTATCTTGCAGTTCATAAAAAATATTAAATAGAAACTATTCTTAAATGTTTAAAAAAAAAAACCAAACAAGTCTCCCCCCCAAAACCAACAAAACCAAAAAACCCGCACAGCACCCCAAAATAAGGGACCAACTCCCCCCCCCCGCCAAATCCAACCCAAACTTAAATCTTCCTTAAACAAGAAGATTGAGGAAATTTGAGAGGTCCCATTTGGATGGAATTGATGAGATAAAAATGATTAATTGCGTAAGATAATAAAACTTTATTTCATCCCGATAAGCAGTAAAATGAGTGCCTTTGCCAAATGGCTTTAATTATCTGCTGCTTTCTCTGTAGAGTCTATTCCAACTCCACTGTCACCTGCTACCAGCCAAGTCAGCCCGTTGCTCTGTGGCAGTTTGGAAGAAGAGTCTCCCTTCCCTTCCTTTGCCCAGGTAAGCCGTGTAGCAGGGTAAAACTTGTCAGAATTGTGTGTGTCTTAACTGGGGATTCGTCTGAGAACACAATTACTTCCCCCACAAAAACAACGTGGGACGAATCTTAGGGAGACAGCATAGCATTGGAATGCTTGAAGGGCTTCCTAGATTTTCTTACCACTTCGGGAACCTGCAGGATTGGTTTAGTACATGGGATTTAATCATATCTTACAACTTTTTTTTTTTTTGATAGATGTTGAGAGTTGGAAAGGCAAAACCAGAAACATGGCCCAAACCTGCTCCAAAGATAAGAGGTAAGAAAATTTGGTATCGACTGCTTCAGATTCTTTACCATGTATCTAAATCTAAGAAATCTTGTAACTTCACAAAACACATCTGGAGTGCAGAGGGGCATATGCACTGTGAAAGTTTTATACTTCTGCCTCTCAAGGCCCTTTCCTTCTTTCAGATGAGAACAGTCTGGCACTCCCTGTGCCAGCGGACAGTGATGGAGAAAGTGACAGCTCTGACCGCATGCCTGTGCCCAGCTTCCAGAATTCCTTCAGCCAAGCTATTGAGGCAGCCCTCCTGAAACTGGACAAACCGTCCACACCTGATCATTTATCAGGTAAAAGGCGGGGTTGAAGGCACGAAAAATTTCTGAAGGGAAGCAAAAAATTAGTATTTTTTTGCTAAAGTGAGAGCAGCAATTTTAGAAACCAAATACAGGCTACAGGACAGTTCTGAAAATGATCAGATTGTGGTTTCTGAACAGGTTGTCTAGGGTTTCTCTTAGCTTAAAGTGGCTCTCTTAGTGGGAGCTGAGATCCCCAACCAGCCAAGAATCCTGTTAGGACAAAGATGGCTTTTGACAATCAGATTTGCAATGTCTCTACTGGAACTGAATTTAAGCTTTCTGTCAATGAAGTTCAGATTATGCACTTTTAAACTAAAAATACCTGAGCTGCTGAACTACCACTTAAGTTTGTCTAGGGTTTCTCTTAGCTTAAAGTGGCTCTCTTAGTGGGAGGTGAGATCCCCAACCAGCCAAGAATCCTGTTAGGACAAAGATGGCTTTTGACAATCAGATTTGCAATGTCTCTACTGGAACTGAATTTAAGCTTTCTGTCAATGAAGTTCAGATTATGCACTTTTAAACTAAAAATACCTGAGCTGCTGAACTACCACTTAAGTTTGACCAAAATGTCAAGGTAACTGCTAGCTGGGATGAACTTAATCCTCTAAACCCGGTGGTGGTTGATAAAACTTACTTACACTTAAGTTTGACCAAAATGTCAAGGTAACTGCTAGCTGAGATTTCAAATTAGGGACTTGGAAACAAATCAGGGTGAACTTAACCCTCTAAACCTGGTGGTGGTTGATAAAACTTACTTATAATGCTCATTTGCGATGTTTAGCTTTGGCTTGTGTTTGGAGACTGCACTGAATGATGGAGAGTTGGATGGGAGGGCCTGGGAGTTTCAGTGAAATTATCAGCTCCAGTTGCATATTTTGGGCATGGATGGAAGCGATACCTCTCTGAAAGGCAAACTGCTGCACATCTGCAGCCCTAGGATCTGCTGTTGCAACAGCAACTTTAGAATCAGTTAGGCGTGTTTATAGGTATGTTTTAAGTGTGATGGAGGCTTCCTTAGTTTGTCTGCAGTAATTTTTTAAAATTAAACTACTTGGTGCTTAGTGAGTTGATAGGAACTATCACAGGCCTGTAGAAGTCATTTGGGCGAGGGGAGACCTTTATCATTTGTGTGTGACGTTCCTGTTCCACGAGAAGAATGACAGTATCATTTTAATCCTTCACAGAGGAAAAGGGAGGCAAGAAAAGAAAGAAACAGAAGCAGAAGCTACTGTTCAGCACCTCTGTTGTTCACACAAAGTGATTCTGCTATTCAAGAGAAGTTTCCTCTCCTGGTTTTCTTTTCATTTTGCTTTGTTTTGCTGCTATAGTTTAAGTATTTAAATTTGAACAGACTAAACTTGTGTTTCCAGGGCTTTTAGGGGGTTCAGGAGGAAACCATGACAGTATATGTTGAAGGAAGGTGTTTTGATTCCAACTGCTTAATTAGTTTATCCTGAAACAAAGTTTTGAAAGAAACAACCCAGAGACAAATGAGCCAAGGGTTCTAGTCTATGCCAAGGCGGTTCTTTTGGCCTAATAAGCAGTGTGAAAGTCTTTCCAGCTGTGTGGCACTGCCAGAATACTGCAATATTACCTAAGTGAAAAGGCAGAGAGCTTTCCCTTGAAGTATTCATGTGCAGAAGTCCACTTGACTGTGACAGTAGTGCTGTTCCAGTAAAGCTGTCAAACTGCTCTCTTGAGAAACTGGTTTCCACTGCACTGGAAATGGGCAAAAAAGCTTCCTGGCTTTAGAGTGTTAGCTGCTATATCTGTTCTTTTTCTAAAGAGCAAGAATTCCTCCTGTTCTCCTGGCTTGGAAAGATTTAAAGCTGAGGTGAGTGTAAAGCAGAACTTGGCTACTTGGTTTTGAAGTGACACTTGATGAATTTGTGTATTTTAAAACGCGTACTGGCACTAGTGGTAGAAGGAACCTCCTGGCTTCTCTCAGTTGTTCAACTCTGTTTTAATGTGGGTGAGTGAGTGAGGCTTCTAATTTTTTTTTTTTTTTTTTTTTGCCAACCATGGGCTACACATTCTTTGTAACCTGGTCATCTAGAATAAACACTCCACCCTAGGGCTCTTGGTAACTACCTGAATGATGTTTTTGACACTGGCTGCTCTTGAATTGGAAGAACAACTGATAGCTGGAGTCTGTAGATAACTTCTATCCCCCAGCAAGAAGCTGGGGTCTCTTGTACTGGGATAAGGGCCTGTATCTGCTTGGTTCTGGGATGCAAGTCAGTCTGCACTAAGCACCTCAGGCTACAAACATGCCTCTTCTGGACCCCTCCCTGCTCTTTCTTTGGGTGGTCATGTTCTGCACTGCTTGTGGTTTGATTTCAGCTAATGAGTTAAGTGGTGTGGATTTTGTTGAATAAAATGAACTGTAGGTGTAATGTACCGGTCAAGGCCAACAGTTGCAATAAATCATATGCACACACACTTCCAGTACTGCACACTTCCTGAGCTGTCACTGAACTGCCCTATCAACGGGGAGCACACCACCACTTAAGGCACACAGATTCAAATCCTACCTTCCTGCTGACAGGTTTCATGCCAGGGAGGTGGTATAAAGCACCCTCTGCCTTACAGTGCAAGACTGACAAGTGTCTCCTCCTGGGCTCTGCTCACAGCAGTGCTCTGCCCACGTTTGCACTGGCTTTAGAAAGCTGGTGTGCAGTATCCCTCTGACACCGACTGGGCTGAGCAGGGAAGCCATGTGTTGGAGACTCCTGGAGTCGGGTGTTCTAACACCACTGGTAAAGTCTTCCTGCTGACAGGTTTCATGCCAGGGAGGTAGTATAAAGCACCCTCTCCCTTACAGTGCAAGACTGACAAGTGTTGGAGAATCCTGGAGTCGGGTGTTCTAACACCACTGATAAAGTTGTTGGCTCTGTCCCGAGGTAGAAAGTTTATGTCAATGCGTTGATGCTTGATTTCAAAGCAGGAGGCTCCACATTACACAAGGGCTTCCTCGAGGCACTTAACCGTGTGCACATGGGAAGCTGGTACCAAGGAGCGTATTTCACAAAGCTCTGTGTGCAAAAAGAAGGGGGAGGTAAAGAATACTTCAACTGCTGCAGGAGGACAGAGGGAACACTTGCAAAATATTCTTTTAAAGCAGCTTGACTTCACGCTTGGTCACGATTAACTACACTTGATGAAAAGACAGTACAGGTTGTCAAGAGAGGGCAAAGAAACTAAGACAAGATGCCTGAAAGCGCACATTTTGCTGTTAATGCTTTACATGCATGTTGGGAACTTATTGGTGAGGGTAAGGAAAGGAACTAAGTAAGACTCAAGTATGCAGTTAACTGCATTCACAGTACTATTGTTTCTTATTTGTAACAGTCATTTTAAGCCATGGAACAGGAGTAACTACTCAAGTGTCTAACCGGTACCTGTTGTGTTCTATAATCTCTACACGTTTATAGTCAATTTTTCTTTGCATTGGGAAGAGAGACAGAATAGCTGGAGCTGGTGTAACTCACCTCCACACTTCACAGGCACTAGAAGGAGGGAAGTGATGTGGGCAAGGACTTGTCCCTTCTGCAGGGGCAGGCTCCACAGGACAGCATCTTCAATTGTATCTTGTTTTCCTATGGATTCAAGAGATACTACCAGCAATGCTACTTTCCTGTAACTGATTGGTGTAAACTTAATAAATATCTAAGCAGTACTTGTACCTACGAGTTTTATAATGGGTCAGAGGGAGTTGAGCCTTACAGCTCTACCTTACATTCCATGTACTCTCTGCTCCTGTGTACACAACCGGTGCTTTTGTGACTCAAAGCAATGGACAGCCCTATGGATAACAGGTGTGCTTGAAGATAAGGTAAAAAACAGGAATATGTTAATGCTTTTTCTGTACTGAAGGAGAATAACTACATTCCTTGTCCATGTTAACTGCCTGAAGCTCACTTCTACCTCAGCATGAAGATCACATTGAGCTGCTGCACTCCTTAGGAGTGCAAGTGGTTTTTACTTCTGGAGCGAAACAGGCAAATAACCTATTTAAGTAAAACCATTTAACTGTAAAAAAACCCAACAATTTATTTAAGGATATTTGGAATGGAGGAATGAAATCTAAATATGAACAGATGCTTTTTCTGTCCCCTGCTTTGCTCAACACTGAAGATCACTGGTAACATCTTGATTACACAATTACAGGACAGAGGTGAACAGTAATTAGTAATGTTCAGTCTGTCTCTATGCCATCATCATCTTCCTCATCTCCACTGTGAGACTGCTCTTCTGTAAGGGAACAGCTTAACAAGGACTTCTGTATACACCGTCTTTCCTCTGCAATAAAGAGAGCAACAGAGGGTCACGAGTTATCTTTTCACATACACTGGAATATCTTCAACTTCTAAAGGAACACTTCTATGTTCACTAATTCAGAAGTAGCCCAGCATATCCTGCAAACCCCCCAGGAACTGATGCTGCATTTTAGGAAAGTGGCTGGAGGAACTCACCTTCATTTGTACAGTTCTGCAACAACATCAGCAGCTGTGTTCTATTGTACTGAATCAGAAATTTCTGACATGTTCTTATAGTACCTGTAGGAGTCATGAGAACAATATGTAACAGTCTAGAAAACCAGTTGTTTCAGAGCTGCTAGAATATTTTCTAAAGATCATCGCATCAAGTCACAAATGCCCCAGGCAACAACGTTATTAATGTAAGTGCTAAGGAGGGGCTGCAGACTTAATTTCTGCACTGTTCTGGTTAAATGGTGGAATGGTAATTTCTGACTTGTGCCTGTTATTTGCCCAAATCAGTTAATTTTCAGGACCCAGACAGTACTATACTTAAAAAATATATTTTTAAAGACAATAATGTAATATAGTATTTGCCACTCTGGTTTTCTGTTACATGTAATGAAGGTTCCAACAGAATTCATGAGGGTTTCAACAAAAGAGCTGCCGGTACCCGTTTCTGATTTAGATGTGCTGGACGCGGCTGGTTTAGCTACACGTACGCTGTGTCTATCGCACCCGCAGGGGTCAGAGGGGGGTTCTTCCATGTTAGCAGCCCGGGAAGGTACGATGGAGCCCCCCGTTTCCCACCCCCAGCCTCGGGCACCGGCTGACCTCCAACGTGCAGGGTGCGGAGGGCGCAGGGGTAGCGCTGGTTCCGGCTCTCCAGCTGCCGGACGAAGGGGAGCGCGGAGCAGAGCAGCCGGTAGAAGTCCTTACGGCACCGCAGGAGCACGGTCCCGGTGTAGGCGTTCAGGTACTTCACTGCGGGGACACACACGGCACCGGTCAGGCCCGAACCCCCGCCTTCCCCGCCCCCGTCCCCGGGATCCCGCCGGCACCTGTGAGGGAGATGGAGCAGCAAGCCAGGCCGTAGTCCCCGTGCACCCGCCCGATGGCGTCCCTGACGGCCAGGCCCACCGCGCGGTCCTCGATGCACTGCCGGCACCGCGGGTCCTCCGAGACCACCTCACACAGCACGTACCTGCGGGACAGCGCGGCCTCAGCGGGACGGAACGGGGCCGGTCGGACGAACCGAACCCGCGGCGCCGCCGCCCGCCTCACCTGTTCTTGAAGCGAACCATGGCGGCGGCGGCCGATCCGGACAGACGCTGCGCCTAGCCAATCAGCGACGCGCCTCCGCGTCATCGCAGCCAATCGTCTTCGCGCAGGGGCGGGGACAGAGGAAGGACTTCCCGGCCCCAAGCTCCGGCGCGGTCCTACCCTCCCTCCCTCAGCCGGCAGCGCGGGCTGCGCATGCGCGCTCCTTCCCCCCCAACCCCGCCGCGCCGCCGTCTCGCTCCCTCCGCGCGGGGGCGCGCGCGGCGCGCGGCTGAGGGGGCGGCTTAGGGGCCGGCGCCGCCGGGTTTCTTGCAGGTGAACTGTTTGATTTTAGCTCTTTTCGCTGCCGCTGTTTCGATCCGACCTCGGCTGAGGTGACCCCAGCCCGCTCCATCTTACTGCTAAATCGTCGTTTAGATGGAGGCGGGACGTCTGCCCTGCAGGGCTGAGGGCGTTAGCGGGGTGCCCAGTGCCGCCCCTGTGCCCCTGGGAGGGCTCTCTGCCTTCGCTCCCTCACGAAAACCGGATTCCCGTGTCTGTAGCCCCTCAGGCTGCGGGTGTGGGGTGTTGTGGGGTGTGTGCTGTCTAACGAATGAAAACAGCTGGGAAAATTGCAGAACAGAGCTACTTCTCCTAATTACTTCTGTAGCGGGTTTGAAAGCTCCTACCTCTGACGGGATATCCGAGGAAGCAATGAGTGCTCTGCTGGTACCAGAAGAAACTGGGGAGGGGGGAAAGAGACAAGGTGGGCACCTGAATGTGAGGTGGGAATAAGTACCAGTGAGGGCAGCGTGTCATTCACGGGAGAAGCACTTTCCCCGAGGTTCCTGGAGCCAAATCGCACAGGAGAGCTTAAGCACTATAAATGAAGTGGGAGCTCATTGCTAATTCAGAGTGGAAACATCTTCTTTAATGACCTTAATTCTAGACAAAGAAAACAATGATAAACCCAGTGGAAATCCTGTCCTGGGTGATAAACTTTTGCCCTCTGAAACAGATGCCTGTTCTGTTGATCTCTCTATTAACTCTTCTCTCCTTTGCCTGTGATCACATTTTTGAGTCATGTTTTTCTGAGAATTGCAGAATATGAGTTGCCTGAGGAGAAAAAAAGGCACGATGACTAGTATGGACTTGCCAAGAGACCTTTTCTTTTGGGCCCATGATCAAAGGGGCTGGGGGAAGTTTGTCAGCTTCTGAAGCTGATGCAGATAGAAGCATTTTCTGGATGAGAGAGACTGCATTGCATTGATCTTTGCTGTATTGCTCTGTGTTTTAATATCCAAACTGGGATCTAGCTGTCATCTGTTCCACTTGTCAATACAGCCAGCTCCTAGGTGATAAGCTATTCTCACATTTTTGAGCGATATTGAACGCGTTCCCATGTGTTTTCTTTGTGGAGTGAGGTCCCGGCGTAGCCTCCCAGCCTGCCTGCCAAGGTATATTTGCCTGCTGCCCCTGTCTTTCTGGTGGCATCCCCCATCCTGCCTTCTGCCTGGGCTCGGGTTGTCCTGTGCTGCTCGGGTTGCTTTTGCTCATGCCCTCCCTCATTTCCTTCTCTTTGCAGAGGCACGGCTGGGTCTCTGATGAGCAGGCCATGTGAGTGCACTCTGCCCTGTAATCCAATAGGACATGTGCACTGTGCATGCTACAGGCTGGGCCCTACGTGTAGCAAAGACCTCTCTTTTCAGTCCAGAAGGCTGATTAGGAGAGACACGGTGCAAAGAGAGAGCAGTGTTGTGAGAGGGCCTTGTCCTGCTTCATTTCACGTAGGATATTGCCTTTAGTTCCCTGTTGTTGGTTTGGAGGATGCACAGAGCAGCTCTGAGCCACTACAGCTCCCTGTACAGTTGCTGCCCGTGTTAGCACAAGCCGTGTGAGTCCAGTCAAGCATCATGGTGTGCTGAGCTGACAGCACAGGACTAAAAGGTTACAACATCTTCACATTTGTTTTCCCACCTCCTCACTCCCATCCTCTGCCAGCTTTGCTGTATTGATTCCAGCGTCAGTGATTCAAGAAACTGTCGCAAGTGATGGTGAGTTATACGGTCAAGGTGGGAAAGAACTGTCTCCTAAGAAAAGATCTGAGAGAGAAAAATCCAGAAAATGCTATTTAAATTGAAGAGTGGGTCCAGAGACCTGCCAAGACATAGGATGGATGCCTCTCCTGCAGATTCGGAGAGACAGTGTGGCCTCAGGATAGCTTATCAAATAGAAATTATGGAGGACAGAGTATGGGAAGACAGGGGGAAGTAACATGCACTGCCTATACACATTAGAGACAATTTGTAAAGCAGTTTAAGAACTTTGGATAGAAGATTCTTTATCGGCGTAGGTGTTCATCAATGACTGTCCAATGAAGTGGTGATGTTAGGGAGGTGCAGGAGACTACTGAGGTCTCATTTTCCCAGTGTGGAGGAGTTATTCCCAATCAGTCTAAGTGTTTTTATTACTGTTTAAGTTTGTGATTTGTTTTATTGTATGCAACCAGCTCTTAGGGTTTGTATGTATTTGCTGTAATTAAAATAATAATGTGTTTACTGAAAAAGCATATATCAGTTAGTGCATCCTTGCACTCTTTAGGTAGGATGTTTCCATTTTATAGATGAGGAAACTGAGGTACCGAGGGATTAAACAATTTGTTCAGAGTAGATAGCTGTCAGTCTGGAGATACAGAGCAAGGACATAATGTTTGCAGAGGGAACCAATGTATTAGTACGTTATGTTGGAGTATAGATCTTGTATGTTGCTCATGCATAAGGTAGCCAAGTAATTACATTCTGGAGTAAAATTAGGATGCACTGGTATCGTGTGTCCTTGTGATACCACAGTTTGATCTTCCCTGCATAGCCAAAACCGTGATGTTTTCCTTCCCTCTGGAAGCACTGAACTGAATTTGCCATCAGGTGCGCTGTCAGAGTTGGGGATGACAACTGCATTTTGTTCCACTGTATGCACATTGCATCCCTAGATAACCCCGCAGTTGAAAATACAAAACAATCTGGCTAAAATTAAAACTGCTTCTTAAATCGTCTGTCTGATGTTGCCTGAAGCTTTTTGTTCGGTTTGTCTTCACAAGGTCACTGAGACAGAAGAGTGCACTCTCTGAGCGTGTTGGCCTGGAGCCTTTCACGCGGATGCTTTCATTTAACATTTGGGACATTCTCCTTTTCCCTTCGGTCCTTTCCTTTTTTACCCCTCAATTTTCTATGTCTCTCTACTCCCACTTTTGAGCTTAGGATCCCTCAGATCAATACATGTAGGAATAGAAGCTATCCTTTTTTATCACCTTAACATGTAATCATTAATCATACGCTTTCTGGGCACCCAGGCTGTCACAGGCCAGAGACTGCTGGTCTGTTTGCCAGAGCTGCCACACGTGCTGCCTGCAGCACTGCCCTCATCTTTGCTGTCATCCTGCCATATAGAATATTTGTCTTGCAAAACCATGTGTTTGAAGCAAATTCTGTTTCTGCCTCTTTCAGTGGCTTACAGTGGGATCTTGGACTACTGTCTTAGGATCAAAATAGTAAATTCACATTGCTTTGACTATTATTATTTTTTAATCATCGGGAACAGGAAATTTCAGTTCAGATTAATAGTGACTGTGTGCTCTGGGAGACATCCCAAGTGTTGTAAGGTCAGCTTCCATTAAGATATCAAAAATTGGAAGCCACTTCAGAAAATTGAAGCCAAAGTTTAAGATCTGATAAATGGTTTAAGCATCTATGAGTTTGGCACGTGCTGTCCAGAATGAACACAGCATCAGGGATCCTCTCTTCCTGTGCAGCAAAAAACAGTGTGAGAGAAGAGCAGTGCAAAAAAGGCTTTTTGCCAAGTGAGAAGCTGGCCCTAAACTGCCAAGCTTTATTTTCTCCAGCTCTGCAATGGGAATAATTGCAAATACTTTATTCATAGCTATATGTTAAAATTAGTAAAGAGTCCACTTGAATGTTGCGAATTATCAAATATAGTAAAACTCCTTCTATATATGAGAGATCTGTAGGCAGCACATTTTTCATTTTCAGCAAGCTGCTGCAAGAAGTAAACAGCTGTTTTCAAACTAGCTAATTAAATACGGCAAAACCTAGAATATTAGTTCAGATAGTTCAGAATTCTCTTTTCTCTTTCCTTTCCTCATTAGGGAGCACAGGCTGAACAGTAGGCCACGTAAGTTACTATGTAATCTGGCGTGTAAAAAAAACCCCCATATTTAATACCTCCTTAATGGGGATGTTAAGATGGATTAATTATTCTTTGTTCTGGTCTCTGAAGATAAAGGGTAATTACTATTAATTATGTGTAATTGAAAAATTGCTCCTTCACAAAGAAGCCAATAGCATTAGTGGGATTTTAACTTCTTGCTACCTATAGGGAGGCGTACAACATTCCATGTTACAGCAAAGACTGCCATAAACTTCAGAAGGGCCTCAGAGGATCTTACTTTCCAGCCCACACTTGAGACCAGTATTTTCAGAGATAGCAGATCTCAGAGCTTGCTAGTGAGACAGGGCTCGGTGTTTTGTTCTCTGCTGGATGGCACTTAAACAGAAGAAGATGCAATCTGCAAGGCTGGTTGGCATTGATGATGCAGCAAGACTTTTCCCCGGTAAATTTCCAGAAACAGGTGGAACAACCACAAGTAAAACAAAGGGAAAGTGTTAGAAACAAACAAACAATAATAACAACAAAAACACAAACCCTTGAGCTTGTGTATCTGGGAAGGAAAATTTTGAAAAAAAGAGAAAAAAACAGCTCATGACTCTTCAGTAATAAGTACATTGCCTGTGGGTCAGCACAGACAGTAGAGGTGTCTGACAAGGAGTGGAGACTGTGTTGAGATATTTGAATTAAGGTGAAAAAGAAAAACAAATATGCTTTTTACACTTACTTTCAATTAGGTAAGTTTAGTAGATTGGTTAGCCTGAGACCTGAAATTCCTAACTGCCATGCTGATTTCTGTTGTTAACTAAAAATCCTCAAAATACTTAGGTGCATACTTTCCTGTGACTTTAGTGGGAGTTGGGCACCTTCACATGCATGAAAG